GCGCGGGCGGGGCGCGGGCGCGGAGCGGGCGGGGCGCGGGCGCGGAGCGGGCGGGGCGCGGGCGCGGAGCGGGCGCTCGCGGCCCGCCAGGTGGCAGCAGGAGCCCGCGGGACGCGCCGCGCCGCCGGCCGCGCAGCGCCGCGGGCGCCGCCGCCGCCGCGGGGCCGCGCTGCTGCTCCGCCGCCGCTGCCGCGCCCGCCCGGCCGGCGCTCCCCCCGCGGGGCAGCGCGGCCCCGCGGTACGGCCTGACTTCGGGGGCAGCGCGGCCCCGCGGTACGGCCTGACTTCGGGGGCTGCTCGGCGGGGGCCCCGGCCGGGAGCAGTTTGGGGAAACCGGGCTCAGGAGCGCGGTGGAGGACGAGGCGCTCGGTAGTTTGGTGCAATTAGCGGTGCAACCTGCGCCAGCACAACCCGCGGTAAAGACAAAGCTGTATGCAAATCGCCCTCCCCTTCCCCATCCCCCGCTGCCGGGGTCTGACGCCGTTCCCCGGACTGTTTTTTAATGATACGGTACGCGGAGTAACTTGAAATTAATTACAAGGTTCTTGACTAAAAGGCGGGGGGAGGCGGTGTCATCCAGTGGGCTCGGTACTCGGAGCTTTGGCCACCTGCTCGTGGCAGAGGTGGCCGGGCTGTGGAGGCTCCCGCAGCCTCGCTCTTCGGGCAGTCCCGGGGCCGGAGAGCTCGGCTGCCGCCGCGGACAGCGGCCACAGCGCCCGGCGAAGGTACGGCCCGGGGCGGGCGAGGCGAGGCGAGGGCGCGGGGACGGAGGGCAAGGGGGATGGATGGCTGCGGGCTGGGGAAAATCCGGGCGGGAGAGGTCTCTGCCTCCTCCCAGCTGGAGAAGTGCTTTTTGGTGTGGAGTGCGTGCGTGTATGTGTGTCCGCCTGTGTCTGTGGGGGTTTGTAGGTGTTCTGGCTGGGGCTCCGAATTTTCGTCCGCAGACTCTACTCTTTCTGACTTCTTCCCCTAGAAGGCTTGTTGTTTTCTGTCATATACTTATCTGGCTCCCACCCTCGAAGATAAATGTTTCAAAATACTGAGAGGAGAAAACTACAAAAATCGCTGTGCGGAAGACTGGAGGATGTGAGGGCTCGGGCAATTCTTTAAAATACGGTAACTGACATGAATGCTAGTTTCTGTGAATATATATGTTAAATACATATATAATGCAGAGTTCTGTGTAAGATAGCAACAGGAAAAAATAATAAGGGGTCTTTTTGACAGGACTTTTATTTGCATGTCTCCTCTCTCTCTCTCTCTCACATCTTTTTGTTTGTCTCCTCTATATATTCTGCTTTTATTACAAGAAGTTTGTTAATACGACATGTCAACGTTGCTGGCTTCAAACTGCAGCACTTTTTTACAAAGCCAGACTGAAAAAATTTCCCCAAACCTCCACGTAATGGCACAACTGGTATGTATAAATAAAATCTTCGTTATTTAAAGTGACGTGGATGTGGTTTACTCTATAGCCTCAGTAATTTAAACAGCACCTATCTCCCGCAGATAGAGTTGCTATGCACCTCTCTACTAGTGAGTTTGAAAATTCGAACCCGGCTTTGATTTATTTCCTCTGTATCAGTGATTAATGCGCCATAATTAGCTAATCTCAAAGCCATTATTTACAACCGGGGCAGACAAAGGGAAAAACTGATAATCCAGCACTTAACTCGGTTTGAAATTATGAAACTGAAAAAAAATGTTTAGGTCTCGTCTCGGAACCGGACAGCCAGTCCGATAACAACAACAACAACAATAACAATAACAACGGCAACAACTTAATCCATTAATTATAGATGATTCTTTTTTCGGCCGAGAATGTACTTTTACTATCTGTGAGTTTTAAAAAAGTAAGCATCTGCTGTCAGTCTTCTGTCTCCCCCTTTGTTGCTGTGTTAAGGAGAGGACCTAAATCTGCGCTGCCCAAAGGCGCGGGCGGTGGGCACGGGCACAGAGGGGGAAGCCCACGGCCACAGGCGCAGGGAGTGCTCGCCATTCCGCCCCACCAGCTCCGCCCGAGCCGGGTGCGTGGGAGCCCGGGGGTAGCTCGGTGGTGGCTCCGTGGTAGCGGGACTGGTGGCGGCGTGAACAGCGGCCGAGGCAGCGGGACCCCCGCAGCAGCGGCGCCCCTTGGGCCCGAGGTCACCGTGCAGCAGCCGGGGCTGCCCGCCGATGTCCAACGATTTCCTTAACGTTTTGCGTTAAATCCCGAGATTCTTCCCTTTCTCTTCCTTTTTGACTGCGGGAATATAGCTTTCTAATGATATCCTAATCCCCGGACCTCCGCCAGCCCGGGAAGAGAGGCAGGCTTCGTTTGATCTGGAAATGTGAGGAAAGACGAGAAATAGAACATCCATTAAAAACAGCAAGGAGGGAAAGAAGAAATTTGATTAGGAAAATCAAATTTAAAAAAATAGAAGAGAAGAAAAGCAAAACCCGAGGGGTGTTGGAGTAGGGGCAGAGCAAAGGTGCTTTGGTGTGAGCAGGCGCTGATTGTCCAAGAGAAGAGATGCAAACGTTCTTTGTTCCGATATGCCTTGTCAGGGGCACACACAAGTAATCCTTATAGCGAAAAAATATTAGCACTTTGAGAAAGAATAAATGAAAAGGAAGGAAAAGAAAAGAAAAGAAAAGAGAATCCATCAAAACCTCCCCATCCTGTTTATAATTCTTGGGCTACAAAAACCGAAAAACCAAACCAAGACAAAACAACATAATCTGTAATATTTCCAGTTGTTACTCGCTCTCCCCCTCGCTCTCTACTCTTCCCTCCCTCCCAAACAAACAATGAATTAGAGATGGTCGCCCCGTGCCCGCTGTAATGCGACGACGTGGAACAAACCGGGAGGGTCCGGGCAGGGGAGGGAAGTGAAGAGCTGTAGGGATGGACACCCAGGGCAGTGCGGGACTACACCCTCCGACAGGGCCAAAATCTCCTCCTCGCTTTTCTTCTTCGTCTTCCTCCTCTTCTTGACTAATGAAAGATTGATCGAGACATATGAGTAATTCCTGATGCTACTTAGCACTGGAAAAAAAGAATCCAGGCTCTGAACTCCAAAGAATTTTGTATGGGATTTTGGTTCTGAGAAATGCCCTGTTTGTCCTAAATCCAGCCACGAGGGAGGGGGTTGGGTCAGGGGACATCTGTTTAATTTGAAGCAATAAATACGCCGGATCTGTGGCTGTTTGGGTGTTTCCATTTTTAAAGATGATTAATCCCACCTCCACCCCCTTTCCAATTCGACTGTAAAGAAATGGATTAGGAATGGTATCAAGAAGGATTATTCATTTATATCAGGCAGATGGAGCTGTACAGTAGGGTTTCAAAGAAACAAAGAAAATGGTTTCTAAATGGTTGTTTGGCATGAATTATTTGGTGGATTTGCAAACAAGCAAGGCGAAGCACTGTACAGCAAGATGTAGAGGAAACCCATCTGGCACCTTTCCCATGCTTGTCTGAGGCTGGAGGGGTTTCCAGACAGGTAGCGGAGGAGTCGCTGAGCAGACCTGGCCCGAAGGGAGCGGGCCAGGGAGCATGAGGCTGCTCTTCCCTCCGGCAGCCAAGAGCCTCCCGCCTGCCCGAGCTGCCCGGAGCTTAGGGCTGGCCTGGGGATTGCTGGCGACTGCACCTGCGGGGCGCGCACAGATCCGGCGCTGCCCAGCCGGACCCCTGCAGGCTCTGAGACACGAGACACGAACCTGGTGGGGTCCTGCGAGCCCTCCCCGCTTCCCCACCCACCTCTCCTCCTCCCCACCTGGCCCTCTCGGCTCAAGCGGTCGCAAAGCTCAGGGCTGAGGCAAGAGGGGGGGAAAAGGGAGGAGGGCAAACAATAAAGAAGCGACAAACTTTCGGAAGTGTTTTCATTACGATCCGCCCCTCCGCGCATTTCTGTTTCTCTCGGAATTTTTCAGTCAGCCTCGCTTTGAAATCTCCGGCCATTTCAAACAGTTAAAAATGTGATTGACACGTATGTTAATAGTTTGTTTTTGTGCAAAGTGGATCTGCAAATTTCCAACCCAAACACACTGCGTAGATCAGATGTTAGGTATAAAAATGGTTTATTGATTGAAATAATAGAAGCATTATTTTGATTTGTCCTGACATGCTGACTGATTTATAGATTCCTACCCCATTGATTTCTTCTTGTCCGGGCAAAAGGAAATGATCAAATCTCATGAAAATGCCCTGTTGTGCTAATTAAGAACCTGAGGTGCATTTTTCTTTTACTTTCTTTCTTTCTTTCTTT